ATGAGCGTGCTTTTCTTGGCACTGACACTACCTGGCTAATGCACACTGGCAAATAATTGAATCATGCAGTGCTTCAATTTACCTCTCTGTAAAATGGGCCTCCTAAAACCTGCTTCGCAGAAGTTTTGTGGGGAATAGTACGTGCAGAGGGAGGGAATGAAAAGTGATGCATAACTGCTACATGTTATTACATTTAGCAAACCACTGAAATGCTAGTGAATGCAGAACCTTTTATTGGACCAACCTTTTAGAATATACCAGTGCTGGGCCACTACATTTACAAAGCTAGAGGTGTGAATTAAATGCATAAGAGATAACAACATAAAGGAGCAACACTGAAATTTACTCCTAACTTAATAAAATTGTGTCCAACTAATCTCATCCAGTATAGGAGCTCCTCACTAGTGATGGGGATGATTCTCCATTCCCAGGTTCTCTCTCTACCCTGTGCCCCCACTCTATTTGGAGATGCTTTCAATACTGCCAGAAGTTTCACTTCTTACTTTGATTTTCCAGTACAGTCTTTATGATTAAAACAGTTAAAGTGAAGGTTATTTTTTTGGCATTAAATAGGGAATGACCTCCTCTACCACACATGCACATACTAGGGTGGCCATCATAGAGGACAGTGCGCTTGTCCTCTGTCCTCTAGTGATGCAAAACCCAACGCCTTTATGTCCTCTATTTTTCTCTTCAAGAAGAGAAAAATCGAGGACATAAAGGCGTCAGGTTTTGTATCACTAGAGGACAGAGTAGCAGAAAACCAGAATGTCCTCTATGATGGCCACCTTAGCATATAACCCCATCACATTTTTTGAAAACCAGATTTAAATGAGAAAATTGCTGCGACTTTATCAAGTGTATGCATCCTCTAGAACCAAGTAGCTCTAAAATATTTGATGGTCCAACTCCTGTCAGGACAAATGCTCCTTATTGTATGAATGAACTGAAAGAGCTGTTATTTTCTGTGGTATAAAAATGCACTAATTAAAGTCTTTAATAGTCAGGTGTCAACACAGACTTAAATATATAGGGGAAAAACGTGCCCATAAAAGTTAATAGAAAATGTTTGCATGATTTATTTAGCTGTCTTTTCATTAGCTACCTATAAATTAGTAGACTGCTGCAATGTGTTACTTTAATCAGGTTACCTAAAGTCCAACCCTTTATTAGCTTAACATTTAAAATTGTTTGAGATAGTTAGACAGCTAATTGCTACTATTTCTTCTTCTAGCTTTTATTATTTAAAGAACAGGCTATCTGCCCAGTTGCAATTTTGCATGCATGCCTGGGAAAAATAGATGACATAAATCGCATGCATAATCTCAAGAGACAATCATTTTAAATCTTAATTGGCTGCCTTTTAAATATCATTTAAGGTCTCGTTTTCCCTGCCTCTCTCTCTCTAGTTAAGAAGGTGTTGTGTCAAAGTCTATTACCTTGCTGGACGTCTCTCTCCTAAGTTTTTAAAAAAAATAGAACCATCAGCAGAGGTTTGAGAGGTCGATAAAGCTTTTAGATTTGGAGATGTTTTCAGGGAGCCCATTTCCTGCGGCTAAGAGTTGTTAATGGAGCTTAAGGAATTATCTTATGACTCGGGCTGGGAGAGCCGTATATTTCTTCGCTCCTGTTCCCTTGTCGAGACTGAATATGCTGCTGTCAAACTCGCTTAATGAAAAGTAACGCGTCGCTGATTACAGTTTTATTTGGGCTCTATGTAAAAAGCACTGTTAATTTAGCATCCCCTCCTTTGTGTGTTTGAATTTGCCATGGCTGAATGATTTAGAGTCTCTCCGTTTCAAGCCGTTTCTCTATGAATCCCCCCCCCTTTCTTTCTTCCCCTCTTTCTTTTTGATTCCCCCTTTCTACATGTCTGTTTTATACCGCCAGCCAAGTTAGATGGCTTTCTCTCTGAGCCCTACAGCCTGGGCAAAAGCAGCTGGAAGTGATCTTTGACTCGTGCTATTGAGTCGCCTACCGAGAAATTAATCTCTTTTGTTTACACGTTGCTGATGCTTGTGAATGATCCCTGCGTTGGACTGCTAATCTGTATACAAGGGGTTTAAACAGCAGCACCAGCCAGCGCACGAAAGCACCGAGCAGGAGCCCTCTCCCGAATCCTAATGGCACCAAGTGCAGCCTCTACCTGTAGCCCACGCAGGAGGGATCTGCTATAGATGCAAACTTATTCCAACTTGTCTTGCAATAACGATGCCATAACATGAAGGAGTGATCCCCCCGCCCCAACTCCCCTCCCGCCGGCTGATGATACTGAAAAAAGGGCTTTTCTTTGAATCCAGGTCGGTTGCCTATGCATGAGTTGGACTGTTTGGGAGAAATCCCTTCCCCAGATTGGAAGCTAAGCCAATATGAATCAGTGCCGAGCTCCAACAGCACTTGGGATTTTGGCATCAATATCAGCATCGTAGGATCATAGGGAAGTAGGGCTGGAAGGGACCGCAGGCAGTCACCTAGTCCAAATCATCATCCTCATTACTCTCGTTAGTCTTATTTTGTGTTATGTTTATTTATTTATTTATGTGCAGCCTTATGGCCACGAAAATAGATCTGCAGAGTTCAGATGGGAATGACAAATTGTTGTCTCCTCTGCGTGTGTGTATGTGTGTGTGTGTGTGGGGGGGGGGGGAAGCCCTGTCATTATTACACGGAAAGTGCCCGGTGAATAATTGAGCATCCCCATGGATGTCTCTCTTGTCCACAGCCCCGTTTGGGAACACCTGAACTTCCTCCCTACCTATCGGGGTCCTATCGCACCCCCTTGGCTGCTATGGGATTGGGGGAGTAAATGGGGGATGCTTCTCAGCAGATCCTCAGTGACATGGCCTGCAAGCCTTGCGCCCCTTCCCTTCCTCCGCACCTCCCTTCCCCCCCGCTTGCTTGCTTTTTTTTTTTCCACCGCCTTATTTTGGTTGAAAATAATTTGCTTTGTCTAAAGGGTTTCAGTGGAGCGGCTGCCGGCCGCCCTGGCTGCATTAAAATTCCTGCCGGCCCAGCCTCTCGCTGCGAACACTTCTCCCCGGAGACTCCACTTTCGCTATTACTGTCAAGTACCCTTGACTCTTTATTTTTGCCCTTTTATCTATTACAACTAATTCGAGTTCTTTTGCCCTTTTCAGTTTAAGACGTGGCTTTCTGTAAAGCCTCCCCCTGCCACCGAGCTCTCGGAGTGCAGAGCCTTTAGAAATTGAGGGGTTTACTGTCAAAATGAAAATTTCACTTCAAATTATCTTGGCTGATGCACGTTTTCCAGGCCGGGGGCTCCTGTCTGAGCCTTTTGACAGCCAGATCAGCAGAGAGGTTCAGTGATCTCGATAATATCATCCAAGAGAGCGAAAGTCAATACAATGACAGGGAATATGACTGGATACAATCCAATTACAGCTGCTGGCTCGCCGAGAGGGAAGGGCTGGGTCTGCCCCCCGCGCCCGGATGCCTTTATTCAAGCCTTGCACTAACAGGTCTCAGCAGCGAGTTGGCAGGGCTGGAGCTGCCCCCTGTCCCCGGGGCACTGTGGATCCCATCCGATCCCTGTCCTCGCGGGGGAGGGCTCTAATGCGATCCCCCCCCCCCCGTATTTTAAACTCGTGGGTTTATTGTTGATCGCCTCATTTCTGCCCCCCACCCCGGACCTGGCAGACAGGGAAGGATGTGCCAGTGGCCTGGCTGCAGGGAGCAGTGGCGTGTCCCGCGCCACGCGTGGGGACCCCCCCCCCCCCCCCCCCCCC